TTTAAAATGTCATTTTTGATCCTTCTAACATTGATTTTTCGATGTTGGATTTTGAACTTAACGATACTCTATTTTGGTTGACTAGAATATATGATGGACAAAAATAATAATGGTCGAGCAGGTGGAAGCAATTTTTAATTTTCACCAGGTGAAAAATGATAGGCAGAAATGATAAGAAATTTTCTGTTTTCGTTTATTCTTTTCTCAAATAAATTCTTACAACTTTAAAAAGTTAAAATATTTCAAATTACAATAATGAATGTTTCAACATGACTTAAAAAATATTCTGCCATAAATTAATATACTTTTGAAAAACAAAAAGACATATGAACATTGAGGGACACCACTGACATTTTTGAAAGATTTCACTGATAATTATTTTTTGAATAGTGAGAATAAAATCAGCTTATAAATTACAATCCAGTATCAAATCTTCATTAACTGCATATAAGGAGTAAATTTAACACAAATTTATTAAAAATAAAATAATAATCTGCAAGAAACAGAATTTTGAGGGGACACCACTGACAAGGGACACCACTGACATTTTGCTTCATTTCTCATTTTCGAAAAAGAAAGACTTTATTTTTAAGTTAAAGTCGTTGCTATTTTTAAAGTACGTGTAATAACTGAAAATGAGATACAATAATATTTAAAAAATATTAATATTATGAACAATTTTTTGATGGGGACACCACTGACATAGTGTGCTCGACAAAGTGAAACTTGCTTTCTGCCACCTACCGTACAAGTGACAGATGTGATAGAATGTTGTAATGTTTTTTCTTTAAGAAGCTATACATATCACTAATACTATTAACGCCTAATAAGGTAATTATTTGCACTAGGTTATTTAAATATCAGACATGATATTCAAAATTTGCGATAATTACTTAAAAATATGAAACTTACGGACAGGCGATTTTGATTTTTTTTCTAGCACTGGATCAAAATTATTCTGCTAGCACAATTACTATATAAAAATATAGACTCTTAGCTGTACAAAATAATTTTTCTGGTACTAAAAATGTGAGAATCAAAATTTTTATTATTAGGTAAAGTTCTGATTTCTTAAGTGCGGACAAGGGACACCACTGACATTTTGCTTCTAATTCTTCTTCCAAATTTTTTCAGAGAATTTCTAGCGACTAAGAATTAATTAATTAATTAATTTAAGTAGAAGGAGTGATTAAAAAAATTAATTGACTTCAAAAACTTTTATATATTAACTAGTATTTCAAATTTTTGGGCAGGACATGAAAATGACATTTTAAATTTAATCACCCATAAATAGCCTTCTCCATTAATATTTCTTTCATTTTTATTCTTTTGAGCAATTGTAAATAGTATTCGATATTCTTGAGCTGCTACAACAACTGAAAATATAACCGATAGAGTTAAAAAGCACATGTAAAGAAATGTACTGGTTGTGACATCCGTATAAATATTGAGGAGCAAATTTATACAAATTGGATAATGCAAATATTATTGCGTTATCCAATGAAATTGATAAGAGAACTTTTCGTATGGAAGCAGTTTTTAAATACTATGGATGTGTAAGCCATATTGTATTGTCGCATGAGATATGGATGTGTTGTAAATCAGATTTAAAAAAGGTGATGAATGCTAACGTAATTTATTTTATTTTAAAAATCCGGGGTAGATAAGGTGGTGCCCTCAATTTTGTATAATCGCTGGAAAACTTTAGGAGAAAATGCGAGAAAGAGTCGACATCGCGCTAAAGTTAAGAAAGAGTAGAGAGTTCTTGATAAGCCCTTGACGACGACACAAGTGCGTCTGTAATTTCTGTGATAATATAATAAAGTATTGTGACATAGTGACTCCACTCTAATTTTATGTGTCTTTTTGTTTTGCCCTTTTGTTTTACCGCAGTCATTTATATTGAATTTAACATTTCTGGCGACCGTGACAGGACTGCGGTAATGAAAAAAAGTGTTAAAAGTAGACCTTTTTTAGTTATCGAGTGTACACGTGTTTAGTGGCATTTTTCAAAATGAATGCTTGTAAGAAGTCTAGAACAATTAAAAGAACATTGATTACCAGATATTTGACGAATTTTAATGATCTCTGTAAAAAAGAAACGACGAGTATCATCAGGAATTTATAAAAGTAAAATTCACTTATAACGAATTATCGACGGAACAAAATGGTGCTACTTCTGATCAAATAAGTGAGAGTGCTGTTGTAGTTACACGTTTATAAAAACCATTTAAGAAACCAACGCTTCAAATTGCTAAGTTTAGTGGCAACGTTGAAGATTGGTTACAGTTTTGGTCTTACTTTCGGAAAGTGCACGAGGACAATACAGTTTCTAAAGAGGATAAATTAGAGTATCTCAAACAATCCGTCGATAAAGGGTCGAAAGCTAATAACGTCGTGTCGGGATATCCAACCAGTTCGGAGAATTATATTAAAGTATTAAAGAGTCTTCGGAATCGTTTTGGTCATGACGATCTTCTGGCCGAGTATTATACTCGTGGGCTGTTAAATTTGGTGTTACAGAATGCGTCGTGTCACCGAGCAAAAGTGCCTGTAGCTAAAATTTATGACAAGATTTTAGCACATATACGTGCTTTGAAGTCACTAGGTGTCACCACGGATAAGTGCGCGACGATGTTATATCCATTGGTCGTATCGTCCCTTTCCGAGGAGATCTTGAGGACTTGTCAACGCTCAGTTTCAATCAACCTAGGTGTGCAAAATCAAGAATCACAAACAGGAGAACGTTTAACGAAATTACTCGATTTTCTACGCTTGGAATTGGAAAACGAGGAGAGGATTCATATGGCGGTAAATGGGTTTAGTGTCTTTGGAGAAGGGGGTAAGAAGGAGAAGGCCAAGGGGAACAAGGAAACATCGTGGACAGCTAGGGAACCAGATAGTCCTAGTGTACTTCTAACAAGTGAAAATAAGGAAAAGAAATATGTATGTGTATTTTGTAGTGGGGAGAACGATAATGCTGATTGTGAGAAGGCGATGAAGATGTCATTCAAGGATAGAAAATCTGTTGTTGGTAAGAATAGATGTTGTTTTAAATGTTTAAAGCGCGGACATTGCGCTAAGGATTGTAAAGTAAGAATAGTGTGTTCAGTATGTGGTAATCGTCATTCAAATCTTTTATGTTCTTTTAAAAATAATAGTAATAAAGTTGTGATATCTGATCAATTAGCTGCTTCCGATAATAATAAAATTAATGAGTACAATTTAGCAAATTTTTGTAGTTTGCCGGAAGTTTATTTGCAGACTTTACGTGTGGTTTTATATTCAGAAAGTAAAGAGAAATTAGTTCAGACAATTATTGATACTTGGTGTCAGAGATCATACATCACTTCTCAAGTCGCTAAATTTTTTGAATATAAATTCATGGGCAAAAAAGAAATAGTACATTCTCTATCACTATTGACAGGTGGGAAATGCGATTGTTTTAACTCGTTAACAGTTTTTAAACGCGATTAAGTTGGACGGTAATGGGTAGAGTCCCTGAAAATAAACGAAATGATGTTGCTATGAAGACTGTTTCAGTGTTTGTTAACGAAGCAAAGGTCTCTGACCTTTGGAGTTTGGATACAATCGGCATTAGAGATCTCATAGAAAAACTAGATCGTTTAGAAAAAGAGAAACGCGTAAAAGAAAATTTTTTAAATACTGTTGCTTTAAAAGAAAATATTTGTTACACTGTATGTTTACCCTGGACAGACGATCATGCACCAGTGTCCTCAAATTTTAATGTTACGAAAATAAGATTAAATAATTTAGAAAAGAAGTTGAGAACGGATGGTTTTTTCGAAGACTACGATAAAGTTATTCATGAATGGATGGATGAAGATATTGTCGAGATTGTGCCCGATAATGAGGTGGATAATGAAGCTCATTATTTACCTCATCGCCATGTAGTTAAATTGGACAGTACGACGGTGATCCGTCCAGTTTTGAAGCATCGGCTAGTGAAAAAGGGCAACCCTCCTGAAATCAATGTCTCGAAAAGGGGCCAAATTTGATAGAGTTGATCCCGACTTTCTTGCTTTATATGATAGAGAACGAAATAGCCGTCATAACAGATATACGTAGAGTCTTTTTACAAATTGAAGTAAATGAAGATGATCGAGATTTTTTGCGTTTTCTATGGTACGAGGGGGGAAAAATTCGAATTTTTCGATACAAAAGGGTTGTCTTCGGATTAACCTGAGAAGGTCGTGACTGAACGAATAATTTTGTCCGAAGCAAACAGAGTGTTCGATCACATATGTATAGTTTCCCCAGTCACTTTATTTCCAAAATTATTACTAAAAAAAGATATGGAAATTGAAAATGGAATGGGATGTGCCCGTAGATTTTGAAATTAGCGACAAATTGTCAATTCCTTAGCTTGGAAAAATATACCAATTACTTTTTGGTCAGATGCAACTACGGTGTTGGCATGGATTGGTCGCGATATGGTCGCGACCATATGGCATATTGGTCTATATGGTCGCGACAGTGGAACACATTTGTATGTAATAGAGTGCGTTAGATTCGCTATTTAACGAAGTCTTGAACATGGAGACATGTGCCGGCAGAAATGAACCCCGTGGACATTGAGATTTTCGTGTTACAGTAAATTAATAAGATTTTTTTCAATTATGTACCGATTTAAAATTTTTAAGCTGGGGATTGGGAGTGAAAAAGAAACACAAATTACATGTGAAAAATTAAATAAAATTTAATTAAAATTTTTGAAGAGTTTACAATCACAGATGTTTATATCTAAAAATGATTCAATGTTAAAGAGTTTACAAACTTTGATTCATACAGATGGCTTGATTCGAATAAAGACAAAAATTATTGAACGCGAGGATAGTTTTCCCTTTTTATTCCCAATTTTGCTAGACGGAAAACATGAAGTGGTAATGTTACTTATTAGAGAGAATCACGAAAGCTTATGTCCAGCTGGAGTACAAACTGCAATGTGCTAATTAAGAGAAAAATATTGGATTCTGTCTATGAGAAGAACGATTAAATCAGTAGTATCTAGATGTGTACGTTGCAGAAGATTTAATTCAAAACATGTTGAATCAGCTCCAGCTCCTTTGCCGATTGATCGCGTTAGAGATGCAAATATTTTTGAAATTACGGGTGTGGATCTCGCGGGTCCATTAATTTTAAAAGGACGGCAAAACAGCTGGATCTGTCTATTTTCCTGCGTAGTGTATAGAGCAATTCACCTAGAACTCGTTACATCGTTGTCAACACAGACTTTTTTGGAGTGTTTCCGTCATTTTATCAGTCGTAGAGGGAGACCATCTAACAGGCTGAATTTTGTTGGTGCGAACAATGCATTTAAGTCATTAAATTGGAACTGTATAAATGGTTATTGTTCCGCCAGACAAATTCAGTGGCCTTTTAATCCCCCATCAGCGCCCTGGTGGGGAGGATGGTGGGAGCGCTTAGTAGGTATGCTTAAAGGTCTTTTACGTAGAGTTTTGGGAAAGTCTTGTCTTGATTTTGAGGAAATGTCTACTGTACTGCGTGACTGCGAGTCTCTTTTGAATTCAAGACCCTTGACTTACATTTCGGAGTCAGCTGACGACTTAAAGGTGTTGACTCCATCGATGTTTTTACACTAACTTAAAGAAACAGGAACACCAGATTTTGATGCAGTGAATAGTGGTAAATTATCAAATCGATATAAATATAAGCAAGAAATTATAGATCGTTTGAGGAGACGTTTTCGAAGAAAATATTTAGGTCAAAGAAGAATGTAGATTCAAAGAAGTATAGTAACGTACAGGTCAGTGATATCGTTATTATAGGTGACGATAGTCACAAGCGCATCGATTGTCCGTTAGGAAAAATCGAAAACTGTGTGTTGAATGAAATTAAAAATGTACTGCGAGATTTTCAGAATTATGTGACTTCGAGAGCTGATTCAAAGAAGTATAGAAACGTACGGGTCGGTGATATCGTTATTATAGGTAACGATAATCACAAGCGCATCGATTGGCCGTTAGGAAAAATCGAAAAACTGTGTGTTGAATAAAATTAAAAATGTACTGCGAGATTTTCAGAATGATGTGATCAGCGAAAATGAAAACAAATATGAGTCAAAAAATAGTTCGATATACAGAAGAATAGAAATAATCACAACGAAAAGTGGGCGCCTTGTCAAAAAGCCTGAGTATTTTCAAAGTCAGTGAGTGTAATGTGTGTAGTTTTATATGTATTTTTTGGATGTGAGTAATTTTTGTGAGAATTATGTTTTATACAAGAAGAAATATTCCAGATATATTTGAAAATAATGGTCTAATCCTCATTTAAGATCGTTTACGGATATATACATTGGTTTTTAAACTTAACAATGTTAAAAATGATTGCATATAGTCGACCCGTGGCGATTGTTATATTTGTTCGGATAGGATTATTCAGAGAGTTTTTTGTAAGTCGGGGAATTTATTTTTTCTTTGTATTTATTATCATCGAATTTCTAGGGAATTCGGAATTGAATATTGAGATAGAATCTCAAAATGGGAGGATGTTGTAAATCAGTTTTGGAAAAGGTATGAATTCTAACATAATTTATTTTATTTTGAAAATGCGTGGTAGATAAGGTGGTGCCCTCTATTTTGTATACTCGCTGGAAAATTTTAGGAAAAAATGCGGGAAAGAGTCGAAATCGCCCTAAAGTTAAGAAAGAGTAGAGAGTTCTTGATAAGCCCTTGACGACGACACAAGTGCGTCTGTAATTTCTGTGATAATATAATAAAGTATTGTGACATAGTGACTCCACTCTAATTTTATGTGTCTTTTTTTTTGCCCTTTTGTTTTACCGCAGTCATTTATATTGAATTTAACAGGATGTGCCAACCATACTCACTTCAAATTCTCGAGGTAAATCAGAACAGCTTGTCATTATTATCTGAAATAACAAAAATCCAAGTCAATTTCTCTTTCGGAATTGATAAGGAGTAATAAAAATTTTTTATATGATTTTTAAGTTGTTGTTTTTCAAATGCAAGATAAAATACTAAACCAGTCTCACATTGATTGTCAACTTTTTTTGCATTAAGCGACAACATTATTTATCCTAATTCCTAATTAATAAATTAATCCCAATGGATAGAAACTTGCTAATACTCAGAATCTCTTGTTGGTGATCTGAGGTTGTTGAAATATTTACGTCGCACTTAATTTTTAATTTCTAAATTAAACTCTAACACCTCTTGTCCTGATTTACCCTCTGTCTTGATTTACCCTCACTGACCTTATTAAATAATCCTTATTTAATAATTGTTTTTTATTATTATATAACAATTGTTTTTCATTACTCATCTAGAACAATAAAAAATAATTATTATAAAAAGTAAAATAATTAATTAATAATCCTTTTATTGCAGAGAGCTGCAATTTAATTACCAAACAAAGACGATAAGTAACTAGGAAAGGTATAATTAGAAGAGGACTATAGAACATGCAGTAAAATTGGACGCAGACGTCCGGGTTTCGTGACACGCGAGCCGTTATAGAAATCTGGTTCGTTGTCGACGAAACTTGCACGATCTGTAACCATTTCAACGTGTACTCTTTTTTTCCAGTTCAACGGTTCAAGATATTAATAAAGGTAATTCTAAACCTAATTACATTTTATTTTATTTTTGACGCATTTAGTGTTCTGGAAATTTGTTTGTCTGTGATTCTTGTTTTAGTAACAATAAATGGTGGACCCAATATGGCAGCCAAAAAATGTTAATATTAAATAGATTCGTTTGAAACATTTTACAAATTCATCAAATTTGCTTGATACTTATAACATGAGGTTTTTAAATTGGGATTTTAATCATGAATCTAAAGTAAAATTTTCAAAATAGCGATACCAATATGGCGGATAAAATTTAAAAAATTGTTGGATTTGCTTAAAATTTGATACTGCCGGTGATGAAATTTATGAAAAGTTCTTAAGGTCATGTTATTCAGTGGTCACGTGCCCCATATACTTTACTATGGGAACACGTGATCACTGAATAACATGACCTTAATGCGTTTGTTTTTGTATAATACTAAGACCAGAATATGAATTTTAGGTTAAGCTTACGCGTTGTTAAACAATGCAAGACAATGTAATAAATCGTTGAAATCAGAGTCGATGTTTAAAGGATTGACATTTTGGACTTTCCATAAAGTTAACGAAATAAGAAAAAAATGAATTTTTTCTTTTTTTAAATCCAATTATTATGTCTGCTTTATAGGTTCAAAGTATTACTCATGTGTATGACTCGTATAAAGATATACTCTGTTCAAAGAGAGAATGACCTCGCTCGCGCAGATTTTTTTCTTTCAAGGCGGAGAAAAATTTGAAAATGGCGTTTTACTACTTTTTTTTCTTAAGTGCATATCCAGTAAGAATTTGTTTCATATTTTATAAAAAGAAACTTTTTTGGGAATGTTTCCTAATCCTGTAATATTATAGTACTATTACAGCGTAATATTACTGAAATGAACTGTAATATTACGTGCTACTTGAAATAGCTAAACTAAAATAGCATTGTACATTACCTAAGCCTAATTCTCTTTCACTCGCACTAATGTAACATGAAAGATGATACTTTATGGTATACGTAAAACTTAACATTTATATCAATGTTTAAATTTCATATTTTCGAAAAAAATAACATATCATTGAAATCGTTAGACGTTGTAGATTCTGAATGTAATGTTTAAAATTTTCAAAATATGTTATAAAAATTTTTCTAATTTTTTATGACCCTTTAAACTCACTTTTATGGAAACCCTCATAAATGTGAAACCGAAGAAAAAAATTTTACCTAAAGTCAGATGTTTAAGGGGAGCTAAGACCACGACTCAAACTCATTTTTTCTATCGAAAAAGGCGTTTCTATATTAAAAACCGCACCAACTTTTTCATTTTTACAACATTCTGCGCGAACTAGACGAAAAATCGTCCTTTGCCGAGGTCATTCTCTCTTTGAACAGAGTATATATATCCAATTCGGGTGGTATCAAAGAATTACCATTCTTTGATTTTCTTGAATGACATTTTTCTCTGACATGATGAAAGGATCAGATGAAACTAAGAGTCTCAAAAAAACATCTTCCTTTTTATTTATTCTGCTGTACTTTCTAGAAAAATTTTTTCCATGCCCAGATAACAAAATGCATGGCTTATGACCAGCATAGATCTAGTTCTGCGGCCGATTGATAGGACCAAGGGGCAAGCTAAAACGCAGGCACTTCTGCGCGCGATTGTTAGCCATATGGTTCGCCCCTTTTGACAGGCACCCACGTGCCGGCAGGCTGCATATTCTACATTTCTGTTTTTTTTTAATTTTTTAAAATCATTTATATTTGAATTACAATGTGTGAAATTATAAACAATATTTATAAACTAAAAAAAATTTACTTTTTTTCAAAGAAAATGTTTTTTGATGTGCAATCACATCAATTTACATATATAAAAATAAAAAATAACACAATTTTAAATGGTTTGATACAAATAAGAAATATTAAAATTTTTAACATCTTAACTCATTTTGAACGAGTATATACGTATGCAATCTGATGAAAAGTTAGTGTTCAAGAATTTTGAATATTAATTGCTGTGTATTATTTCTAGTAAATTTGCAGGTTTTAGTTAAAATAACATTTCACCACTTTAATAAACACTTTTAATTTATTTAAATGTTTAATGAAAAATACAACATTCAACTTAATATTTTAGAAAAGGTAGTTTTAGTTTTAAATAAGAATAAATTTAAGGATTTTTCGTATAATTGCGGATTAAAAAAGTAAAGACTCAGAGCGAGCACATGTTTACGAACGAAGCCCGGATATGTGATATTTTAGATTTGTGCAACTCGACTTTTTTTGATAGAATGGTGAACTTGATGTAGATACAAGGTTACATTAAGCATCGTCTTTGGAAATTGGAACTGGAAGGATCGCTAATTTGGAGAAGGATCGTTTGTAAAACGAATTTGCTGTGAAAATGGTGGCGACTCTCGACAGCCCGTCAATCAAATCTCACCAATGATTCTTCGCAGATGGTGTTTAACTGATTTTACCCTTGCATCCCAAATTCCTCCGGAGTTTGGAGGGATAAAGGACCACGTGGTTCCTTGAGTAGCGAGTACCTCGGCAACTCTAGGAAAGATACTTTTTGCGCCAGAGAAAAGTGATTTCAGTTCTTTTTCAGCACCAACGAAAGTTCGGGCATTGTCACTATAAACCTTGATACACTGACCACAACGTAAAGTGAATTCATTAAATGCCCCTAAAAAGATTACTGTTTCAAGATCGGAAACTAATTCGAGGTAAATGGCTTGTGTAGAAAGACAGACGAATAAGCAGAGGTAACCCTTAGTTGATTTGATGCCTCGACATTTCAAGGGGAGAACATTAATAAGACCAGCGTAGTCAAGCCCAGTGAACGTAAACGGTTTTCATACAGTGATTTTTTCAACTGGCAATTGACCTATAACTTGAGTCAGGATTACGGTACGGAATTGAGCGCACTTAACACATTCTCGAACGATTTTGTTGATGAGTGTCTTCTCATTGATGATCCATAACTTTTGAAGAACTTTGCTCAAAGTAAGCTGCTGTCCTCCATGTAG